ATATATATATATATATATATATATATATATATATATATATATATATATATATATATATATATATATATATTCTAATAGTATTTGTTGTCAAATATCCAGTCACAATTATCCCAGTTATCATGTAACTTTTAAATATTAGTAGGCATATTTCCACCTGTACATTTGGTTTTAACTCTTGTTCCTCTGAGAAAATTCACAACCTCTTCAAAAATATTGTAGAATCTACTTGCCCTCAAAAAGCAAAAAAAAACCTATTCAAATTCCGACAACATTTCTTACTGAAAAGGTTTACTGCCTGGCTCAAGTCTGAAAGAACTAGTCTTTCTCTAGACCTTAATAATAGTAATTAAGTTGCTTATCAACAAATCCATCTACATGACCTAAAATGGACTCCTCTTCAACCATGTTATATATTTTTTTCTGTTTCTTTTTGCTTGTTTTTTTTCTGCAGCTGGCTTCTGCTCTGGGAGAAGAAAGGTCTCTGAGTCAATTGCACCTACGGGAGCAGTTGGATAAGATTCGTAGGGAGGCTGACATAAAGCTGAAGACAGAGAGAGAGAAGAACCAGATGCTGATTTCTCAGAGTCATAATGAAAATTCACAGCTCCACCAGAAGGTGCATGATTGAATTCCTCTGTAAAATCTTCACAGACTTATAATCCATGACATATTTTATGACAAAGTGCTCTTTTTCTTACTTGAGTGACAACATTTTGAGCAGGGCAGCAACTTTGATAGATGTTTCAACAGTTTAACAAAGCCTAAAGATAATGTTTGTGATGCAGCCTGCTTTAATTCGATAAGGTCCAGATGAACTAAAGAAGAGCTGTTCTAACTTCCTTCCAACAGCTACCCTCATAATTCGTCTGCCTTGCTGTCCTCGATCCTGCCTGTGGGGGTGTTTACACTGCATGCTTTTTAGAGTTCTTGTAGCACACACAATTGCATGCAGACAGTATGATTAATTTTGTGGTTTGCAAGAGATTTTAAATCCAGACAGCGGAGGTGAGACTGCAGAGAGCGACACGCAAACAGCCCTCCTACATCCTCCAATATATTTCCACCCACTGCTTGAATGTATGAGCAACGAGGAAGGACACTGAAGTTTTAAAACGAATTGGGTCACTAATTTGTCGACATTACATTTCCAGTTTGTAGATAAATGCTAAATACCTCTTTCTGGTACTGCTGTTTTTTGTTTTTTTTTTAACTGCAGATTTCCTCCTACCAAAAAAATATATATATAACAGCAGCTAGTGAGCACCTTTTGCAATTAGTGAAAAAAATAAGAGCAGCACATTATTTTTTTTCTGAAATGGGGTGAATATGAGGGTTAAGCATTACTGTTTAAATGTTCACTCTCCTGTTTAGTTGGAGGAGAGAAAGCTGGAGGTACTGCATCTGAAAGAGGAGCTTCAGCAGGAGAAGAGACGCAGAGAGGCTAAGAGGAGGGCTGAAGAGACAGAAAGGAGAGAGGAGGAGCTGTACCGACAGGAGGCGGAAGAGCTGAGCCAAGCTAGAGCTGATCTGGATCTGATGGCTGAGAAAAATGCTGCACTTCAGCAAGAGGTGGGCAGACAGTGCTTTTTAAAAGTCTTCATTCCCTCTAAAAAAAAAAAAAAACATGACTTGCATTTGTACGCAGAAACTTCCTGTTTAAAGTTTGATAAAAGAAAAGTACAGCATAACAAAAAAAATGGTTGAGAGATGGTGCTATGATTAAAAAAATAAAATAAAATAACCAAGTTTAACCTTTTTGGCTAACATGCAAAATGCTATACGGGGATAGAACCTAAAGCACTGTGCTTCACCACTGAAAACACCAGAGTAAAACACGGTGGTGGCAGCTTGGGATATTAATGCTGTTTCTCACAAAGGACTAGGCTGCCTTGAAGATATATGGAGCTAGATACAGAATAATATTGGAAAAAACTGTTAGAAGCTGAAGAAGAACATAACGAGATGAGTCCTGACATACAGCCAGAGTCTCGCTGCAATGGCTAAGATCAATGGACCTCATGCAAAAACATTTTCACATTTTTGTTGCAAATATGTTTTACTTTTTCTCTTTACCATGGGATTTTTTTAACACGACACATCAGATTCAACAAACGTTCCTAACTTCAGTAAATAGTCCTCATAACCCTGATGCAGTCCAACTGTGTAAGAGAGCATGTGTACCTGAGAAAAATAAATCAGCATATTTACCACCCCAACAATGCTATATAAGGCTACATATATAAAGGGGAGGGCTACAACTTCCCACGCTTATCAGGAGTTGTTTATTCATAGAAATGGCATAGAAGACGAAGAAAGAAAAAAACTATTTGGGTTCAAAGATCGAAAATCAGCTGACTGAGAGCTGAGCAGCAGAATTAAAGGAAGTCAAGCAGTGAAATACATTACAAAAGCTGTAAATGCAGTGCTTGCACTGTTGCAACATATAATATAAATGTTTGATGAGTTCTCCATCAATTAACACTAAAACATTCAACAAAACCTTTTAATACATGCACCTGTGTGTGTGTTTTAAAAAGAGATCGTACTCTCCATTCTCTCAAAACGCATACAAATAAAAATGTTAACATTGAAACTAATTGGTAAAATGTAGACCCAAACATTCCACATTTTATGTATTAACATAATTTTTTTTATTTTTTTTTTAATAGTAGCTTGATCTCTGAATGTTCTTTTTTTTTATTACAACAAATTCAGCCAGTGTCCCCTGGATGCCGACATGCCAGGTGCGGTGGTAGCGACCAATAGTTCTTTCATCAGCAAATTAAACAGAACTTATTTATAACTGCAGAGTTGCATGATATATAATGATGTAGTTGAATAACAGTTGATCTAAGAAAAAGAAATGCAGTCATTTATTGAAAAACTAGGTTTGGTTAATAGCTGGCTGGTTGCACAGGACTCCTACGTCAGGTCTGCATCACTCAAAAGAATTGTTCATACTTTAGAGAAATAGGAGATGAATGGTGAATGTGATATTTTCTCCTAAATCATTTGTACAAATAAGAATTTAATTTGTTTGTACGAACAGTTCTTACATGAGGGTCGATGTTCTGTTCGAATAACTTAAAGTCTAGACTTCAATCAAACTGCGACTCGCTTCATAACAAGACTTGGAAATCGAGGTTTTATACCTAACCCCCGCTGAGCTGGATCTGATATTAAAAGACAACTTGGCAAAAAACTTTATTGTCTACATGTGAAACTTGAATAAAGGCCCAAAAAGACTCAAAGACCTGACTGCAGCATGAAGGTTGACTCGATTCGTGCCACTAATGTCTCTTAAATGGTTGTCTTGGTTTCTTAAGAAGTCAGCATGACAACAAGGTCTTTTTCTCTTGCTTAATACTCTGCAATTTATATCTGTGCCAACACCAGTCACACAACGCCCGGTATAAATTTAGCCACTGTGTATTTATAGGAATGTGTCACAGACGAACAAAGGAAGTGACTTTTACAGGGGCAGAAATGGGAGAGTGCTGGACACAGAGTTCATATTTGCTCCAGCAGCAGAGTGTGCGGTGATGCATCTTTGTGCCAGCACCGTCCACATGCAGCTCCTTTTGAGCGGAGAGATAAAACCTGAAAAGATGGAAGAGCATGAAAGGAAACAAGCTGGGATGAACATATAAACATTTTTTTTTTCCAAAGATGGAATGAAGGAGAGCCACTGTGTATGTATATGTCTGAGGAAAGTACAACAAAAACAGGACTTTAAGAAAGTAACTTTGGTAGAATGTGTTCACCATGTCTGATGTGAAGGGAGGAGTGTGAGGCTGCAGTCACGACATGCATCAGCTGTCTAACCACTAACACATACACACGCAAGCCCATGCAAACAAGCTAACGTCTCATTGTTTCTCTCTCTTGGTTCTAAATTATCTGCTGAAATGTATCAGTGAAACTGAAATTATATGTCTTTAATAATAGACTTGCCCCTGAATATTTCTGATCTGCTAATTGTTTTGATGACCTTACCCGAGATTAATGCAGCTGATTGAATGTATTTTTTAAACATATGCAAAAGGATCTTTAATTTTCACTCATCCTATCATCTCATCTCATGTTATTTTGATAATACTGTTTTCATTGAAGAAGAAAATAATGAAAATCTGCACCTATCTGAAGCTGACTGAGCATGCATTCCAGGGAGGTCAGTGGGTTTTTTTCTTGTTTTTTTTAACTTGATTGCAGTCTTTACACGCGCAGCCCTGTTTTCCCATAACCTTGTGAAAGTATTTAGGATGTTTTCTCTCTTCAGCTCTATTCTGCTGACAACAGCTACATGCTGTGGCTTAAAAAAAGGCTTGTTAAACCCAGAGGAAAGGAAAATCTGAAATGAGATCTCCAGAATGTTTCATGTACTTCTGCTAGACAACTATATGTGACACCAAAATTAGCTTTATTTCTCCTGTGTCTCTGTTGTGTACATCTTCTAAAGCTTGATTTAGTCTCCTTTCAAGTTTCAGAAAATATTTCAACAAGCTCGAATATAATTCTCAGACTCAACTTGTGTCTCCTTATGATCTGAGACGGAGAAATCAGAGAGATCTCTCTGTGACTCAGTCTGTTAATCATAGCTTCAATATTCTTTCTGGAAAGCACTAAACACAACATTCCTAGAATCGACTTCACATTCAAAATGTTATGTGACTCTGAAATACAAATAGAAGAGTTAGGTTTTGCTTTTAAACAAATGTCAGTAGGAAAATCACCTGGTCAAGATGGTTTGACTTCATTTTCATAGGTTTTTCTGGGAAGAGTTAAAAGTATTATTCAAAACAGGGAACTTTTTTAAGTGATTTTTTTTTTCTGTAGGTTTATTTATAATCCAATGAGTCAATACATAAAAACATCCAAAGCCTTAAATAGAAATGCATGGAAGAACAGGATGTCATGTCCTCTATAAAAAACATGTAAATCTGTCATGTTGAGTTCATTGGAAGAACATTTGGAATTATGCATGAGGGAAAGATCTTTTTTTAAATATGAATTTTGCTCTGATTCTTCACTTGAATTAGTTACATACTTTGTTTTGTTTTTTTTGTTTTTTGTTTTTTTAACAGTGTCCTGTCTGGCAAGTGGCAATAAGAATAATTGTATGTATGCCAAAAAGAGCCCAACAGATTTTACTTTCACAAGTGGAGCAGTATGGCTATTGCCATTGTGTTCTGCTTGTTTCATGCATATAAATTGCTTTATTATAATTATGCAGGGAGTTACATACTTCCAAAAGATCCAGATCCAATTCCCTTTCAAATATGGACATATTGGCATCCTTGATAAAGATGCTGGTGAAATCTTAAAAACTATTTTTAATAAAGGTAATTAAAGTTGCAAGATCTCATCCTCATTAACCTTTTAAAATCCAGTCTTTAATTAGAGCTCATTTATTTAAGAAAAGTTTCTCCATTGTTAATTCTTGTAAGGGGCTGGGGGATAGGGAGAACATGCAAACCCCCCAGCCTTGGTTCAGACCTAATGTTTAAAGCAGCAACAGTTTCTGAGTGGAGCCTGAAGTAAAGGAATAGAAAAACATTCTGTGCCCCAAATGGCTGGTGCTACATGGTTTGGTTAATATTGCTGCTGCTTCACCTGCAATGTTTCAGGGTTGGAACAAACAGACAGAGGGATCTTTGACTATACATCATCTTTGCAAAACGTCTTTCTGAAGTCTTTGCTTCTGTGTGTCTTAATCTCTCCCCTCAGGTTTTACATTTAAGTTTGTTTTTGGATCTGTCATTGGCCTCGAGAACAGTTTTCAATTAATTCATCTTGGGCTATATTTTGTTGTTTTGTCCACATTTTTGATTATTGTCCCATAGAAATATACTCGATGATCTCTCGTATTTAATTTCGAGGCTATTTGTTACTCCAAAGAATCCAAAAATTCTGAAGATTTTTTAAGTTTAAACACCAAAGAAAGAACATCAGAGGCTTTTCAATGTTTTTTTTTTCTTTTCTCCATCTTGCTAAAACACCCAGGTCTAGGTAAAACCCCACATTTATGTTAGTGATGATAGAAAGGAAAAGCTTATTTTTCTTGCACCACAAGTAAATGACCAGTTGCCATGTTCAATAGTGTCTAATTAAGAATATATGTGTGCAGTAAGACAACTCTTTTTCCCAGGCCCAATACCCGCACTCCTGGCCTTGCATACTTCAATTGTGCTTTCCTGCACAGGGTTGAATGTAAAAGGTAGAGTGTATTGCCAACAATTCATTGCTGCATGTGACATTTGAAGTAAAAAAAACGGAAATGTGATGAAGATCAAGCTACTGTGCATTGATGTTTGATTTTGATAAACATATAATTCACACTAAATCATCCACAAATCACAACCAGGTAGTATTTGTCTCTAAATTGATATTCAGTTAATTCTTCTTCACCACAGGCTCCTGTTTTATTGATACTCCCGGGGAGAATTTGCAACAAAAAGTGAATTTTCATTAAAGATTGGTGTGATTGGGAATACTTTCTGTTTAAGATTTATTAGATAATGGTATTTTTTAGAATATTTAACCAAACTAAATAAACACTTTAGATATAA